AAACAGAGAAACCTCAACTGACCACACCGTGGTTTTGCAGGTTACAATACTAACGGTATAGTAGAATAACTAACAGAAATGTAACAGTGAAAAGTCGCTTTATAAATTTGCATTGCAAATTTTTCTAAAAACATCTGTTCCCTTTGTCAATATGGGCTCTTGCATGTAGATTGGTGGGCAAAAATAGCCATTTAATCTATTTAAAATTAAATCTACAACACAACAATGTGCACAAAAAGTGAAGGGGTTTGAATACTTTCTGAAGCCACTGTGTACCGCAACACAAGACTACAAGTCAGCTTAGTTCCAATTAACTTGGGAAGAAACAAGTAGGACAGAGAAGTGCCTAGAAATGAACATTTTCCAAATCAATTCATTTTTTTTTTTTTTTTTTTGCAAATCAGGTTAAAAAAAAAGTTTCATTCACAAATTTCTTCAATCTTTCCGAATATTTGCTATCCCACAACACAAGGCAGTAGTAGTAGTAAGGCAAGGTAAAGCAAGTTAATACACTTAGCAAACATCATATTAGCCAATCATATGGCAGCAGTGCAGTTAATAAGATCACGCAGGTACAGACAAGGGGCCTCAGGTAATGTTCACATCAAACATCAGAATGAGGGGAAAAAGTGATTAAGTGACTCTGACCGTTGCATGATTGTTGGTGCCAGAAGGGCTGCTGTGACTATTTGTTAAACTGCTGATCTCCTGGGATTTTCATGCACAAACGGTCTCTAGAGTTTTTATCAACATCTCTAGAGTTTTTTTTGTGTGTCACACAAAAAAAAAAAAGGTTTTACATAGGAGATTTTATAATAAAGATAGAGGAAGTGTGTTTGATAAGATCTGGGACCCTGTACTGAAATTCTTCCAGGCTAAGAATTAATGTGTTGAGTCCAATGTAAAGCACCATGCTGTGTATTTTGTTTCCCCCTTTGTCTCTCAAAAGTTACTGTAATATGTAAATTTAATTTTGTTCTTTTTAAAGAAACAATAACTTGCACTTAATTTATCTCTGACTGTTGCTACTGTTGTTATGTATGTTTGTGGCTTTTTTTAAATTATTTTGTAAGTTTGTGTTCTGACTTTACAGCAAAATAATAAACATTTAAAGACATTTAAACATAAAGTTTCATATAAGGCAATTTAGTTTTACATAAGGCATAAAAAGGCAAAAGGATGAGTTTAAAAGTGATCTACATATACTACACTTCAGTAAACAGAATATAACCTGTGACAACAGTCTCACAACTACAACACTGTTTTCATTACCTAATTTAAAAAGCTGATTATAAAATCACACTTAATTGCCCATATTTTTACCGCCCATGTTACTAAAGTGCTGGTAAGGAGATTATGCTGAGTAAATACTGTGCAATTATTACCAGATAGATCACACACAAATTGCTATTACTGCACTGAACTGTAACTGTGACCACAAACCAGAGGGATCTGACTCTGAGGATGCCTTTGTTTGAATGGGTGTCTGTGTGAAAGGGGGTTTGGGGGGCGTCCGGGTCACCATATTGGTTACTACCCGTGTATGAAGTGTTTATTCCCTTTATTGGCAACACAACACATCTCCCACACAGTGACTGTGAATAGAGACACTGGGCTCTGTGTTTGTTTTGCTTACACAAGTTAAACAAGTTCAGTTAACCATGTAGTAGCTGACTCGCTTCAGAGTGATTTACTAGGCCCATTTAAACACAATGACTAGTCCTAACGGTCAACACGGTGCGTTTACGGATCAACGGAAACAATAAAGACACAAGTTAAAGAGACAGTAGGTTCACCGACATTGAAAACTTGCTCCATTCATTGTACGTACACTGTAATAAACAAGTAATGGTGTTAGTGGGTTGGGCCGCAAACTTCTCCTGTCCATTAATGCTTAATTACGACTGAATCAGTAGCTGCATTTCTTCGTGAAGTTGATACCAAACTTTATTTTGAAGACGTAAACTACGGGCCCTTTGAGCTGCAGTAACGCTACAGCTGCCAGTGTGTCGAAGTCTGGTTTAACCCGAGACAAGCTGCTGTGAGAAACAACACACAATCAGATGTTATCTCCATAAAAAAAACTCTCCAGGGTCACTGCATCGAGGCGACGGCCTTTGTAACCCGGTCAGAATTTAAATGGAGACCGCAGCTGGCTGGTCTTAAACAAGCCTATCAGTGGACAGGGGAATAGACACTTGGTACGAGATTTAAATGCTAGCTAAAGCTTGTAGCGACCCGGTGCACCCTGCAAATGTGAATACCTTTAGCTATAGTAAAAGCAGTATTGTTATTGTGGACGTGTAAGTTAGTTCAGAAGTTGTATGTTGAAACTAACTTACCATCCAAGCCAGACCCCCGCTTCCTGCTGCGTTGCTGGACATCTTCCTTTGTGATCCTAATTTTTACTGATGCAGCTCGCAAAATGTACTCAATTCCCAGTGAATTCAAAAGTCCGTCAGCATAACAAACGTCTCAGTTACGTAAAGGTACAAAAATCTGTTTATCGTCCATGATCTTCCTTCGGTTGTTGATAAGATAATCCTTCGGAGTGTATCAAAACAAGCGGAGGAGGGGAGTGTATCGCGGCTATTGTTAAAATCGACAAGCGGTGGCACAGTAGGCCTAAACTTCCAACAAAGATGCTAACCGGGCTACTTGCTGCAAATAAATACTGTACAAAATGCACGCAATAACGGGTTTACAATTTCATGTGAAAACTCAACAGAATAAAATATGAGTTTAACAGAAACGCTCTGAAAACGACCGAGTTAAATACTTTTCATTTAGAAATAAAAACGACTATTCGCTAACAGCAACATCCGCTGTCCGGCTCCGCCATCTGCAAGACAGACGGCGAATCGTCCCGAGGATAAACCGACCAATCAGGCGGCGGGGTTTCAAAGACGCCGGTACTTCGACGAATAGAAAACGTCAACATTTAACGGCTCGTGCTATTCTTCCAACGCAAGATGGCGACAAAAACTCACTCAAGCCAAATCATTGAAAGACGAGACAGTGTGTAATATATTGCGTAGTATGCCGTAGCATTATTCTGGACTCGACTACTACCAGACTGCAAAAATATCTTTATTATACCACTATACATTTTTCTAACACTCATTCAATTACACCAACACTGACATTAATTTGTTTGGTTTATATTAAAACACAAGAATGGATGGTTATGTGTGAAAATACCATTGCACAGTATCATCATTATAAACTAGAAAACTTCCGGAGAAATTTTGAATGTTCCTGCTGCTTGGTGCGTGTATTTCACTTTCATTTTCATTCATGTCATAGAGACTTATCCTGACACTGACCTGGCCAAAATGGCCTCACAATTATAGAAAGACAGAAACACACACGCATAGAACCACACATCAACACGCACACACAAGTACACGAAAATACACCGTGTTGATTTATCTTAAAGTTGCTCTCATACCTGAGTTAAAAGGCTAAGAAATTAATGAGTTTAATTAGCCAATCAGAATCAGCTTTGCCCATTTCTGCCCAGTAACACCTGCTCCTGAATTTGTATTGCAGTCAGTGGGAGAGGTGGAGGGTACTCCCATCACTTCCTCAAAAACTGTAAAAGATATCAGAATGAGACCAAAACTGGGTGATACAGGACAAAAGAAATCTCTACATTTTTGATACAAAAATTGTCAATTAAGGTTGGAAATTGTGGGATTTAAAAAGAATTTGTCAGACTTTTTTTGAGTTGAGTTTAGGGTTGACTAAATGGAGCAAAGTCAGTGAAGAAGTGAATCCAGTCACACAGTTGCTTCTTCACATGGATGTGAATGAAACTGTATATGTTCAGGAGATAGCGCAGGATGTCACCAGTGAGTTCAATCAGGATCTTGAGTTATGAGCAAATATGATATTTGATATGATAATGATAGGCCATGTCCACATGTCAGACCAATCAATATGGATATACTTCAGATTTTGGTTAATACTAAAATTCTGTTCGCTGGGTTTTGAGGTGCACATTTTTGGTATTTGTTGTGGCCTCAATGGATCAGGCTCAAAATGCTTTGGTAAGGGCCTGAAGATATCTACCAACATTTATTATGATTGGACAAATCATTAACGAGTTATGACGAATTTACTGCTAAGCCCCGCCCCTTGTGAAGATTATTGGTCAATATCTTGAAAACTAAATAAGATATCAATAAGATCTATAAAAATTTTGATAAGTCTGGTCAATGATGATCGACAGAAAATTTCGTAGCAACCAGACCTAGGAGGAGATGTCAAAAAATATGTTTTTCCAAAAAATTTAAAATGTCGGAAAATCCATCAAGATGGGCTTTTTTTGTAGTGCACAGTGAGCTGGACTAGTGTTTGTAATTTCAAGTCTATCATACAAAGGGTACGAGGGGCGAGGACCTACAGCTTCCAGATTCCTTGCACGAATTGAAATGTTATTGCTTAAGTAGGACTTTGATCATCTTGAGGTTTTGAACTCATGAGCTCTGCATCCTCAGAGAAGGTGACTTATGGACTGGGAAAACATGAGCCGCACACACCTTCTCAGAAGATATCATTATGTTCAAACGTGGTATTTTATGATCAAATATTTTGGTGACTTTGAATCCAACAATTACGGCAAGATGGTGAATATCACTGTGGACTCACTTGATATCTGCCATTTGGAGAATATCTGTCAAATTTAGTAGCATTTGAATGATTTTTGGAAATATAGATCTTAATTGATTTAGCATTTTTTGGATATCTAAAGCCACAATATCCTAACACTGCGCAGCAAAGCTATGACCTAGCATCTGATGCATGCAACTAGTTTGGTTACAATAGTTTTAGCCAAATTTGATTTCTGAGCCATTATGTAAATTAAGATTCACAACACAGGTTTAAAATTATATAATTTTCATTGTAATTCCTTTTTTTGCCTGTATTGTCTATAGATGACGTATAGCAAATTTTGTGAGAATCGGATGAATGGCCTCTGACTAGTTTGTTTGAATATTTGAATTTTTTTTTTTTTGAGAAAATATGCAGATGAATCAAGAGAGTAAAATGGCAAAAGAATTTTGACTAGGCCGAGCCATTTTTGATATAATTGCAAAAACCTAAAATTGATCCTTACAGCGCCACCTTGAGGAGAAGGGGATGGACTTTTTGTTTTTGCTGCGTGAATGCTTGTAATGAAGAAAAATAAGAGTAATGGGAGCAAAAACAATATGGTTCTGTCCCTTCAGGTATGGGACCCTAACAAGCAGGAGATGGAGGTTTCAACACTGGTTTGCTGTGTGAAATGTGTCCATGCATCACAAACTACAGACACATTCACAGTGGAGGCATATGTTACAAAACTCTATGGCTTTATGGCTAAAACTCTGCACAGCTATATCGTAGACTGCATGTCTCCTAGGTGATTTGGCCCTCGGTCCGATCAAAGGTACAAAACTCAGGTTGTCATTCATCTATCATTAGATCATGCATATTTAATCATCTTGGATGAACAACACATATTGCACTGATTTGTAAACTTACATCAATTCTAGAGCTCAAACTATGATTCAAACAGTTCGCTCTGAACTTGTCAGAGCAGACAAGAGTGAAAAAGTATTAGGGGTCCAGTTTTGTTGAGCACAACGACTGTTCAGCATCTTCCAGGTGAACGAGGATTTCAAATGAAGGCCCCTCTGTCTCCTTCATGCTCCGTCTGAACAGCTGAGAGTGCTGCCACGATGTTTCCCCCTCTCCACCACTGAGTTCTGCTACAACGATGAAGTCTGAAGAGCCGGACAGAGTAGAGAACGACTGCATCTTCCCATCTGATGGTTCAAACACAGGAGAGGAGATTATCAGGAGGGATCATGTCATACAATCATATTTTTGTAGTATTTTATCAGAATATCTATGACAAATGACGGAGTATTAGGGCCACGCGGAGGGAAAATAAAGTCAGCTGTAATTTCATGAGAAGAAAATATGAGAATAAAGTCATATGTTTACAAGAATAAAGTCATAATATTATGAGAATAAAGTGGTAATTACGTAACTATACCTCCAGAGTATTCTGTAGTAATCTTGTCTGACTGCAAGTGCCAGCAGACTTTCCCCGTTTGGAAGGTCTGGCTACTGGCCATGATCGAGACAGACTTTATCTTCATTCCCACTGGAGCAAAATCAAACTTCCAGCTGATTCGTCCCACAGAGGAGCCTTCTGTTCGAGCTATGTACACCTTGAGAAAGAACACAACCACAGTGTTTCCAGGGGACGCTAAAAAGTGATGGACCAGACTGTTTTTCACCTCAAAAGTCACAATTGGGCATTGAACAACAAGTGCGTCCCAGCCGGGTTCATCACTCTTATCATTGCAAATCACAGAACAGAAACACATTGCTTCGTTAATCACCGTACCATCTGCCAGTCCTGCTCCACCTTTCTGAAGACGGACTCCGTCCTCCAGGCGCACTGATCCCAGCTCTGAGTGACCTCAGAGCCGTCTGACAGTCGACAGTACTGGTCTTTGGTGGCACTGTAGCACACATGCAGCAGCCTGTCGCTCTTCTCTCTCTCAGTAGGAGTAAACACGTAACCTGCAGCCTAAGAAAAACACACATACACACACACATACACACACACACAGTCACCAATCAAGCTCTAATTCTTCGAGCCATCAGAGTGTTAAGAGTCCAAGAGGTGTTTGATCACATATTTATTGTACTTATATTGGTTGTGTGTTTGGTTTTTCAGCTCATATCGGTTATGACAGAGTAAATATTAGAAACACCACTCGGTAGAATGCAGTCCACGTCAACAGCACCACAAAGTTCAGCTTCAAGAATGACCATGAACCTCAAACATAAACTGAGCATTACAACTGTTGGAACAGACTGCATTAAAAAATTCTATTAAAACATATGCAGTATAATTAAACGCATCAGTGGATACATACAGCCGATTGGAATAAGCTCCATCGTAACACCATTTATAATATACCTTACCTGTGTTGAGGTCCCTGGCTCAGCCGCTCTGGTCTCCCCCCTCGCTAACCTCCAGGCCAGAGAGCCAGAGTTGCGTCCTCCCAGCTCTCCTGGTTTTGGCCTCTTGGGGGAAATAAACTCCACCAGCTCGACAAGCAGCCTCTCCGTCAGGTCCTTCATCCGGTCTGGACTCAGGGACTGTTGTCTCTTCAGAACCAGAGCAGACAGAAAGAGTCACCGCAGGAAACGTCATGACATGCAGGGTTACAGAGTGAAGACTTACTGAGGCATTGAGCCCATTAATGGTGTGAAGCAGCCAGGCCTCTTGAACACTGGTCCTTCTTGACAAAACCTCTGGATGTTTGCAGGAATACCTCCATGTCACATCCACCACCTGCATCACACACACAAACACACACATATCGATGACCTTTACCCCAACATTAGCCATCACAACTAACCTGAACCAGAACCTTCATCTTATTGCTTATTTTCTCTGCGATACAGTGAGAGGTGACGCTCGAGATTACAAAAGCAGAAAGAAAAAAAACAAAAAAAAACAATCAGAATACAAAAATCACTTCCTGGTAAAAACAATTCCATTCAGAAACATTACGATTTAAAAGATTAAAAAAAACGTATTTCCATGCTTTCTCTCCATATTTAAAGTCTTGGAGCATAAACTCTAAAAGCAGTCTTTCCAAGGTCGGTGTTCACCCGAGGATCCAGTCCTGTAATTTGGTAATTTATTTAAGAATGCTTTATAAATATAAAAGCATTCTTAAATATAAATGAATATAAATAAATAAATCTGGTCTCATTGAGAGAGAGAACCAGACAACTTTTTGTTGCAATGATGGGTACTGTAGGAATCCCCAGTCATAAGTCTAAGAACAGAGTCATATACAGCATCTAATCCCTCAAAACAAACCATCTGCATAGATAACAACACAACATAATATCACAGTGACAATTTTATACAGAATTATTTCCATCAACTTACTTTATCACTTGCCTTCATGTCACCGAACTATCATCTTTCTCTCCCAAAACTATGGAACAGATCCACTAAAGGAATATATCAGAGACTCTTCAGGCCATTATCCACAAATTCCATGAAAAGATCAAACCAAAAAATGAATGTTGTAGTATACTGTTTCTTATTCCTCTGTGCCACAGACCTCAATGGTTGTGTATTAATCCGCAGCTGTAAGTAGTTCCAAACATTTGCATTATTTCCTCCATTTGTGTGCCATTTTTAAAGATTAATTAGGAACCACTGGGCTGAGTTCCACCGTTAGGGTAGATTAGAGAGTGTTGATGGACTAACACATTGTAGTTTTTGGTATTTATGTAATAGTACAGTAGTATTAGTAGTAGTGTCTGTTTTTCTGACCTGGTCCTTGGAGAAAGCCAGAACATAGGCCAGTTTCTTCCCCCAGCCGACCTCATACAGCAGAGGCTGATCGCAGACGTTCTCACACGAGTCACAGTGGAGCCAGCGACGCTGAGAGACCGAGTAGATCTCTGTCCACACGTGGTCTGAAACAACACAGACAGGAAAAGACTTTCACACTGAACAGCTAGTTCTGATATCAGAATGAATATGAATTTAAGAAGTTTCAAAAGCCAATTCTGATCATTTGTGAAACGTAGTGACGTGTTCCTAAAGAAGAAAGAAAGAAGATAAATAAACTTCTGCTCTTCCTCCTTGTGCAGAGAATCAAGTTGGCAATGCCACATCAGTCAGTCATGTACATACCTGTGCTGTCCCAGATGTACCTGGCCTCAAGGCCAAGGGCTCTGCAGCACAGGGTGAAACAGTTAGCCCACTCCCCACAGCGCCCCCTCCTGGTTTCTAGCAGCTTCTCAGGATTGTTGTACCTGGTGTTAATAAAACAGAAGAATGTGCATCAGCTCAAGCAATCCATATTATTATGTGTGTTTTGTCTTACCATTTTAAAATTAGTTAACAATGAATACTACAAAATAAAAGTAAAATGGAAATGTAATAATCAATATCACTGCCTAACTTGTTCTGCAACCTAATCCCAATTTTGACCTCAAATCTAACCTCAAGAACTCGTCCTGAACTCCCTCACTGCAGTCGTAGGAACTAGACAAAATGTCACACACACACACACACACACACACACACACGCACACACACACACACACGCACACACACACACACACGCACACACACACACACACGCACACACACACACACACGCACACACACACACACACACACACACACACACACCTTGGGAATCTGGTGGAGAGGCTGCAGGCCTGACAGTAATGGTCCTCCACTCGCTGAGCTCCCCAGCGGAGGTCGTCAGTGCTGGGACTGAGGGAGCTGGCGTTCTGGGTCGAACCTCCACAGCGGCTGCAGGGCAAAGAGTCCACCCAGGAGAAGAAATCCTGTTTGAACCACCTGAGTAACTCCAGCACCAGGAAGTCTTCTATTCCAAGTTTACATTCTACAAACAGGAAAGCAAGACAGATGCAAGTCAGTGTCTCTGAATCAGTGTGTAAAGGAGCGTGCAACATTTCCGTTTGTTTGCAGGCAGTATGATACAGACTGATGACTCTGAGTGAGGGGACTTCACCTGGGTCGGCATCTTTAGCCTCCTTCAGCTTGAGCTGAGCAGCCGAGGACAGCTGCTGGTGAGGGATGTGGCTCCTAGCTTTCTGCTGCAGCTCGGCGTTTTCATACAGCATCACATGTTGGAAATTAGACTGGAGAGTCACAAAGAAGCTCATACTGCTCTCCTGACAGAAAGACACGAAAACATCCAGGTCAGTCACCACCAAGAATAATGAGAGAGATTGTGAAACAGACAAGTCACGATTTTTCAGGAGTGGATGTTCAGAGATATAAGTGACTGTATGAAAGCTATTTTATTTAAAAGTTTAAAATGAGTGTTTCACCATTAACAGTGAAAAGAAACAAACCATAAAGAATTTAAGAAGCAGTACCCCAATTTCAACCCCAAAATCTTAAGTGTACGAAATAATGATTAATCACCACAGTCACCAATGAGCACATTTCAAGATGCATTGCAAAGAGCAATGAAATCTTTAGAAATTAATATTCCAAACACTAGTGCCACATTACAAATGTTGCATACATACAACTTTGAAATGCTGTCAGGCCATCTCACTGTCTGTTCCTAATCTGGCAAACTGCATTTTTTTTACTGACAATTACTGGAGTTTGTAATTAATTAGACAAGATGTTCACCATAGATTTGTTTATTCTCAATTTCAAATGAAAGCAGATCTGAGCTAAAAGAAAAAGTGAGTTACAGTGTGTTTAGCCTGTGCTGTGACACTGCAGCTGAACGCTATAAATTTATAGAGTCACAGTTTATTTTGTTTAAACCAGGGTCTTTACCAAGGATGATGGCTGTGATGGAGGTTGTGAAACTGGCTGGATGGAGGTAGCAGCAGCAGAGCTCGCTGGAGCTGGGGTTGGGGCTGTGGCTGAGGCCACGGTTGAGGCTGAAGCTGAAGCTGAAGCTGAAGCTGAGGCTGAGGCGGCCTGAGCAGTTGGTCGGACGAGCTGTCCTCCTTGCAGCCTCTGATCCCTCTCTGCTGCTATGGATTCCCTGATGAGCCTCAGCTGCTCCACTGATGCAGACTTGGGGAACACCAAGTGGGTCTCAGCCTGAAAAGAGGTGCAACTGGGCAGTTAGGTCACATATGACTATATAGACTCTAGGGAATGAGGCAATATCACACGAATACTGGCTTTAAACTCCTGCTGTGGCCCCCTGGCTGCTTCTTTTTGATTACCTCCTCAAATCCCATCTCGAAGAGACATTCCACAGCTCCTTTGATGGGCAACAGCTTGGTGGAGAACGTCGGATTCCCTATGCGGATCGACCTGTACTTTTCCTCATTGGGAGACCTGTGGGGGAGTGGCATCAAATGAGGAAGTACAGCAATGGGCTGATCTCAATACCTTTTGTTCCTCTGTGGCATAAGACACAAATTACTATGAACAAAGTAGTGAGTTATGCGTTCATTTGCTAGACGTAAACACACAAATTATAAATTAGTGTCCTTAGATTAATCAGTGTTGTTGTTACTGTGCACACTTTTATGGGTTATATCCTACTTTACTGCTTTTTGCTTTACCATTGCACAACAGTGGGCACTTTCTCTAAATGTTGACTACTCAAAGAAACAAATTTAAGACTTCTTCCTGGTGTGTCACTCTTCTTCTTCTTCGTCATCATTTTGTTTTACAGCAGTTGGCATCCATCTTATTGGTGCATTACTGTGATCATATCCTATAAAACCCCTGTATCCCTTAGAAAACCTATCAGCATTTCGACCTGTGCTGCGTCACCCATGCTCAGTTATCCTTTTAATGTGAAATACCTCAGATCATTCCTCATCATTTCTCTCTGTGCCCCCATACCTCCTACAACTCAGGCACATGCTCCACTGATTCCTCCTCCTGGTATCCATCACAAAAGCTGGTGTTTCCCTACCACCTTCAGTGATTTTGTTTTGAAGCGCACAGTGACCCAACCTTAACCTTTTCAACGCACCATCCTCTCTCCTGTATCCGCTCCCTGTCCTTGTTAATTTGAAATAGATGTCTCCCTTTCCTCTCTTCTTCCCTGGTGTTTAACAGCAGCTGGCATCCAAGTAGTTGCATTCCTGCCATCTTTTCGCTATCACTCAGCTCCTACATTGTCCGGTCTACTAGATCTTTTTCATTAGTCCTGTTTCCCGCAGGAAGTTAATATCCTCTGTTCACTCCAGGACATTCTTCAGCCCCCTTCCTCTCATCCCCAATGTGCATCTATTGCAGTTGATAATGACATGTTCTACTGTTTCTGGTGCCTGACATTGCTCACAGAGACCGGTTGAATGTTTATCCATCATGAAGTGTTCTACTCAGGTTGCTGTGTCCTATTCTTAATCTTGATATGATGACCTCTTCTCTCCTGTGTCCTCCCCTCTTCCTTACACTGCCAACTTTGCTTTTGACTGAATCTAAATATCTCTCCTCATTGTCCGCTGCTGCATTCTCCATGAATATTTGTCTTTATAATGCTTTTCCCGTCCGTTTTTAGATTTCTTAATTCTGATGACTGTATTTGATTTCCGTAGAGCTTGTTTAGCCGGGTTGTCCACTTTATCGTTCCCTCTTGTGCCAATATGAATCCATAAGAATTTGACTTCGGTAGAAGATGAATCTGAACATGTCAAAACCTTATCTTGTTTAGTGTTTTAAAAACCTGTCGCGGTGGTGTGTCACTCGTGTGCTGAATTAACCTCAAGACAACAGGAGGTCCGTTTATGTTTACGTCTACTGATTAACAAGGGCAAATAAACATGACAGGTCTTGTTAAACAGAGTTTGGTTTAACGGTAACAACAGCATACAAGTTGAGCCCTCAAATACAACTAGCCTTTGCGTTTTCGACTGTTAAGCTACTGTTTCTGAGACCACCTCAGCTCGACATAAGACATCTCAACGGACACAGAGCCGGGCTGTAGCGTACATTAAGTTAGCAACCGTACCTTAAAATATTGTCCGCATATGTCAGTAACAACTTGGCGACGTCCAGGAAGACTTCGTTTGGATTCTCACACAACGCTGTGACCGCTGGTGACACAGCCATGTTGGTATTTCCCGTCCAATCTGTAAAGTCCTCTTAGTTTTTCAGTGTGGTAGCTAATGCTAACACGGCAACTGCGGTTTAGATGTTTTGGGTCCTGACTGAGGCTGAGGCTGAGGCTGCCCCACCAACCGCCTGAATGAATATTCGCAGCTTTTTAAAAAATATTGTATGTGATTGTTTTTTTTTCTATGGTTACGTTTAATTGGGAAATCTAATCTGTTGTGCTGCCGTGTTAATAATTTTAATTTAACAGTTTAGACCGAATATTTCCCGGTTAAACGAGTGTGGCGTTCCCAAAGGCGATCCAAAGTTACAGGCAAATTTTAGGACGACTTCTTGTTGTATGGATGTTTGTAGTATGTGTTCTATGGATCTGTCGACTACTAACTTTGAAGTAGAGCTCTGTCGAGTGACCAATAAACCGACGTTCAGCTGTGTCACGACGATATTAATTATATCTTTAGTTTTGTAACTTCATCCCTCCCATGTTGAGGGAGCATTAACCAAAGCTATAAGCTAGCTGTCAGACTTGATAGATAACAGGATGTCTGCTCTACCACTGTCCTGCTGGACTAAACTCCTGCTGAGGCCACAGAACATGGGGACACTTCTACAGAAGAGTGTCTGCGTTTGTCCAAACCGAGAGTCCAGGCGTCGCAGCTCTGGACAGCAGAGAAGGAGGGTGGTTATCACTGGCATAGGGTTGGTGTGTCCTCTGGGCACAGGGACTGCTCTGCCCTGGGACCACCTGATTAAAGCCCAGAGTGGGATTGTTGCTCTGGACTCAGAGGCGTATAAGACTGTTCCCTGTAAAGTGGCCGCTCTGGTAACCAGAGGGACAGAGGAGGGTCAGTTTAATGAGGAGAAGTTTGCCTCTCGGGGGGAGATCAACAGCATGTCACCAGCCACTGTGATGGCTCTCGGAGCTGCTCAGCTTGCCCTGGAGGACTCGGGGTGGTACCCCAAAGCCCCAGAGGACCAGCTCAACACAGGGGTGGCTGTTGGCATGGGCATGGTGTCACTGGATGAGATTGCTCGCACCTCCGCTGCCTTCCAAGAGAAGGGCTACAACAAAGTGAGTCCCTTCTTTGTGCCCCGCATTCTCGTCAACATGGCTGCTGGGCACATAAGTATCAAACACAGATTAAAGGGTCCCAATCATGCCGTGTCCACGGCGTGCACAACAGGCGCACACGCTATAGGCGATGCTGCCAGGTTCATTGCCCATGGGGATGCAGTTGCTATGGTTACAGGGGGAACAGAGTCCTGTGTAGGGCCTCTGTCAATAGCTGGGTTTGCAAGGGCGCGTGCCCTCGCCACCAAATGGAATGACAACCCTGCGCTGGCATCAAGACCTTTTCACCCAGAGAGGGAGGGCTTTGTGATGGGCGAAGGAGCCGCTGTGCTCCTGCTGGAGGAGCTGGACCACGCAGTGAAGAGGGGGGCCCGGATCTACGCAGAGGTCCTGGGCTATGGACTTTCAGGGGACGCTAGCCACATCACTGCACCCACTGCAGACGGGGATGGTGCATTCAGGTGACTGATTTTTGGCTTTTCGGAAGCAGATACTTTTTCTTATGTTTGAACCAATATTTTTTCTTATATTCAATATCCCACTATAAAATAATGACAAAAATAACAGAATTATTGCAGGTTACAAGTTACAGTCAATCAAGAAGTTGCATGGTAAATTCGATTAATAGAATGGTGGAGGGACATTTTCATGCCACACATACAGGCTTACATACAGTCTCCACTATGTTCACCAGCTGGTCTTTAACTGTGTCACTCTGCTGTTTGATGAAGAACTAAACATTGTGTACATCATTTCCTTAGATTTTCTTTCATTTGGTCCATTGCTTACATACAAATATTCAATGGTGCAACTTTAGTTCCTGAGATGTGGGAACACAGCGACATTAGGAAATAGAAGTATAAATGAGCAGGCACTTTGTAAACAAATACCCAGGATAGACAAATTATTTGGGGAAAGAAAAGGAGACAGATGAAAGAACAGAACATCACATTTACAGACTGACTTCCTGTCTCAGCTTTGATGTACTGTGGCCTTCATGTGCTGGAAGGAACTGCTGTCCAGATTTTATTTTCACCTCGAAATAAAGTGACATAGATAATCTGGTTATACTGTTACTGTTATACAATTTTTTTATTACTGATAGATTTAATGCCTAAAAAAAAATCAAGATCCAAATTGTAATAAAGCAGCATTATCTTTTATTGTCTCCACAGGTGCATGTCTGCAGCCCTCAGAGACGCCGGTGTCTCACCAGCAGATGTAACGTATGTGAATGCTCATGCCACATCCACGCCGTTGGGTGACGCAGCTGAAAATGCCGCCATCAAGAGGCTCTTCCAGCAAAGCGTTGACAGCCTGGCTGTGTCCTCCACCAAGGGAGCCACAGGACATCTGCTCGGAGCAGCCGGGGCCCTGGAGGCAGCGTTCACCGCTCTAGCCTGCTACCATGGAGTCCTGCCCCCGACTCTCAACCTGGACCGCACCGAGCCACAGTTCGACCTGAATTATGTTCCCTGCACCGCGCAGTCATGGCAGACTCGGGGCCGACGGGTCGCCCTCACAAACTCCTTTGGGTTCGGCGGCACCAACGCGTCACTGTGTCTCGCCAGCGTCTGACAACACACTGAGACTAATTCTTGACGTTTTATTTGAAATCAGATGTGAGTAGAGAACATGAGAAGAACTGATCAGTCCTGCTGCTGGTTGGTTGTGAAAATTCTTATGAACTGATCATGTGAATATTGTGAATTTAGAGAAGTCTCTCACCTTGAGAGAACGTCTTCAAATTTGGCACAAAACATTCACCTGGACTCGAGGATGAACTGAAGGCTAAAGGTCAAAGGTTAAGGTCAGTATGACCTCACAAAACACTTTATAGCCTTTACTCAAGACTACACACAGTAATTATGACACATTTTTACACATATGATTAATATTTTTCTGACTCTGGATAAACAGGGATGTAACCTGAAACTAGTCTGAGCGGCGGAGGGATACAACTGCGAGGAAGTAGTTCTAGTTTTGGACATGACATTGATCCAATTTACATGTAGTGAGCATCAAAAGAAGCTATTCTGTAGTAGAAGAAGTATTATGGTTTCTATCAGGGAAAGCTGTACAGAAATTGTGGGGTTTGTTCTGCTCACCGATATTTGCAGTTTGTGACAGCAAGCATAAACCTGGCTGCACTAGGCTGCGCTTAATCCTCACTCATTAACACTGCTGTTAAATTGATCTGATCAAGCTGTCATTGTGTTTCGTCGAGAAAATATCAGAAAATAGTGAAAAATGCACTGTAGAACCAAAAGTGACATTTTCAAATGTGGCGTTTATTCAGTTAATGAAGTTACAATGATATAAAGCAGAAGATGTCAAGTTTAAACAAGGTTTTTTCTGCTTGAAAATGGATTTGGCTTTGACTGTGACTGGAACCTATGTGACATGATTTTACAAGGTCCAGTTTCTATGTCTATTGTTTGATCATAAAAAAAAAAAAAAAAAAAAACTGTGTAAGTGTGAGTTTGTGTCGTACCAGCAGGTGGTGCTGGCTCACAGCAAGTCATGCATTTTGTTTTCATATACCCCCCTTTCATTAGAGTTTAATCATTAGAGTTTAGGAGACAGTTCTATTCACATTATCCCTAAATCACATGACCTAAGAACAATCATGAAATGTCATCGTCCTCTGAGGAGAAACAGCACGTGGAGACGCAGAAGGCTTTTAGATCCATTAGAGTAAATAGAGAAAACATCATTCAATAGAAAAGGTTGATATTAATAATTGAATAAAGAAGAGAATTGCATTGCATCCTGTTAGCTTCCTGTGTCAGACTCCTGAACAGGAGATAAGTAGTGTTTAATACCTACTTTAATACCATCATCATAGAGGCATGATCTCACAGTCGTGCTGTTTGTGATCACTTATGGAGGCACTTTCCACGCTGCGACCTCTGGCTCTGTGTTGCTTTCCTCTGGTGTTAGCCTGTTTTGTCCTGCTTTGTCTTTAGCAGTGAGAAAACAACACGGGGTCACCACAGCAGAGGGGTGAGTAAGAGAGGTTAATTGGGGACAACGTGCCATTATGTCCGGATTGAAAGTGAAGTAATCGGGTAAACAGTCCCCGAAGGGAGATGGACAGTTTTCTCAAACTGTTAATGTTTCTGCAAAGTTTGAAACGACAATTATTCTGCTGCTTCAGAAAAAGGAGAAGAGACACACGGTTGTTTTGTGGCTTCCTGAGGGAGACGTGATGATTATGTGGGAACATAAAGAATATCTTATTCTGGAAGCTCATATATTCCTGCAGACGTGGTTCTGTGTTTTTAAATTGCCCCATGGAGATTTTTAGGGGCTGTGAGTAAAACAAATCTCATTTAAAAGTAAATCATGTACAGTGGAGTCCAAAAGTTTAAAATGTGTGTGTGTATGTGTGTGTGAATACAGTATATATGGTATAACTTTATATGCAATCTATGGTTCTACACTGTAATAAGTAGGTCAACATACACAAGTCTAAAGCCTCATTAGCAGCTCCAGACTGTAAAGTCTGTTACACCTCACAGAACAGTTCAGTGCTCTACTAACAATCTTGTTATTCCTGGACACTAATGAGACGAATGTCTCACAGTGTCAAACTATACATTGTGAGACATCGGCTTATTTGCTTTTTGTGAAATGGACAAAATGATGTCAATCTCATGTCTGTACTGAGCAGGGGACAGGAGGAAGTTAGCCTAGCTTAGCATGAAGACTGAAATCAGCAGCTGTAGCCTGGCTCTGTTCAAATTTAAAAAATACATCTATCATAGAGTGACCAGACATCCCTGTTTTCCAGGGATAGTCCCCATTTTTGGTTTCCCATCCCCAGCTGGAACGTCCAACAACTTTGCGCATGTTTTGGCCAACAGTGGGCGCTGGCTGCTACCCTTTGGCAACTTCAGAAATTAAGCTAAAACCATGAAAATAATAGAGTTATCCAATTAGACTTTTCTTTTTTTGTTTGTTGTTGTTGTCTCTAGGCAAAGAAAAGGTTACCTGACTCACTCAATGACAACCTGAAAATATAGTTTTCATGTTGGAAGAAGTGAAGAAGAAGTCGCCTGATTGTCTGCAATGGACTTCACCTGACAGTATTCACAACCTGGAATATTATTATAAAAACCTTTTTGTTTCTTTTGATCTGTGGATTCTTAGGGGCTAAAGGAATATACATAATCGAGACAGACAATCAGACTTCACGACGTCTACAAAGGCAGGGAGTCGTCGTTTTGTCAGTCGTCTTTCACCATAGTTAATTACAGTGCAACAGTTACTCATGGGCAGAATACATGAAACCGGGACTGTCCCCATTTTTATTTCATAGATAAAAACACTGGATATTTTAAGGATATATTGACCACTGAACTGGAAATGTCCCCGTTACATTAACATGTTGTATGTTGTTTGTTTTAATAATGTGTAAGAACAAGATCAAGTCATGACGGAGGAAGAGGATGATGGTCCCTCACATTATTACTTCATGACTGTGATTTTTCAGTGTGAATACAAGATTATAGTTAGTGGATAAAAAATATTTGTGGATTAAAAGATGAGAAAGATTTCATCTTTCTTTTATACAAGAGGAAGATTTGGTGTCACCAGAGTCGCAAATATTGAGGGAGTCACCAAAGACATCAGGATTCCTGCTCCGCAGACAGCAAATGTCATGGAACTTCAGCCATTAGTTTAACAGACAAATGTCATGGAAACGTGTGTTGACCACAGGGGGATATTTGACTTGATAATGGTGTTACAGCAAACGTCAAACAGTCAGCATATGATTATGATTCATCCTGTGGGGACATGGCAAGCTGAGCAGTAGCTGAGATAATGTGCTGTGTTCCAACGTGATGGACTAATTGACAATCCGGCACCATCTTTAGGTTGCCGCCAGAAGGCAAGAATAATATTCTATAATTACATAACACACGCTAATAAGCTTCATTATCTCACAATATTCCTACGTTATGCTTATGATGCCTTTTTGATTTGATGCTTCATAAGTAGCTCGTAACTCTGACAGTGAAACGTTGAATTCATGTTATATGGCAGGACTGGACCTCTTGCTCTGTATTTCACTTGATGAATATTGTATCGTCGTGATTTAATTTAATAACATGATGTAAAGCCGGAACCAGATGATGAATTACTGTACTGGGGAATGTCTTCCCAGACCCATTTTTAGAGATTACGTTTTATTAACTCTTCTGCATGTCACATCCAGCTAATGAATAAATCAATTATTCATCCGTTTTTTAATTTGAAATAATCTGACACAGATAAATGAGGAAACAAGGTTTTTTTTCTTTCTTTTTTTTTTTCTTGTCAGAAAGGAAAGCCCGACATTTTCATGGGGGGATATTTTGGCCTCAGAACTTGCTGTATGCATCACTCTCTGCTCGGTGATTCAACAGCTAACATGCACCGAGATCAAGAGTGTCGGGGATTCCCCACCTTTACGTACTGCAAATTCACACATGCATTCACACAAACACATGACAACATTAAAGTGTGCAGACTCAAGGACGAGGACACGGCAGAAGCAGCGCTGCATCGTGATTCTGCCTTCCCACCATCCCCTCGGCTCTCTGAGAGTTAAGTGTACCCACTTCCATCACTCCATATAAATAGTGCCTTAGCTGGGCAGGAACTATTGATTCCTATTGCTGTAATGATGATGACTTTGGTTCATGTTATTCCTTTTTCTCTTCCTTTTTCTTTTTTTTTTTTTTTACAGCCCCACCATCTAATTAGGAGATATCCAAGCTGAATTATGATCACCATGGCAACAGAGTCAGCATGCATTCCTTTGATATCACCCTGTCCCACCGGGAGCACAGCTTATCACCATGTTCTAAAATTAGACCTCTCCTCTCTCTGTGGCACATTCTGGATGGCCTTCATTCCTAAGCTGTGACCACTGATCAGGTCCAGTGTCAGACCTTCGTTTCATCCATGGAATTATGGAATTACAGGTTGTTAGAATAATTATAATGAAATTTCATTCATACACAACCTATTAACTACACCTTATATTATTATTTTATGTACTATACATAGGCTATAATCACAGACCGCCTGCAGCCAGAGGAGAAAGACCCATATTCAACCCTCTGAGGTCGATGGATATTTCCATTAATATGTTTCCGATAACACAGTGTAGAAATATGGTTTAAATGTTGTTAAAAATCTGTTGACTCTCCACTTTCCATTTCTTATTCTTGCGGGACTGTACATGATTTAAAGCCAGAACTAGAAGGCCAAAAAACAGACCTCTAAACTTTAGTTCAAGCAGAGTGACAGTCAGCGCTTCAACTCAGTGATATTACAAAATCTAATTTTAGCCATTTATTAAACATTTATCTATATTATACTCATATATTGCACTATTTGTTTATGAACCTAAGACTTTAGTAGGTCTATTTCAAAAACTGGGTTTCTGTTTTTCAGCATTTGGGCCAAATTATCTTTTTGCACAGTGCAAAGATCAAAAAGGCATTGTTATAGAAAGAGCTGCGATAGTTCTGGAAATTGTGACGAAAACACTTGAGCATTATGTGATACGCAAGTTTTTAAAAGATGACTTTAAGAAATAGTGTAGAAATCCAGAAAATACCCTTAGACCTCAGAGGGTTAAGAGGGATAACAGAGCCACAGCCCAGGAGCTCTTTCACTGAATAATGAACTAACCAATTAAATGTAATATGCTCTTCTCTTCACAGTGTGTCCTACATTTCATCCAGTATCATAAAATAATTTACAGTTTTCAATCTGTGTCAATACTTCACCCAATGCCTCACATTTTAACCCCACAGAGGTAACAGCAGCTCTCATGGAAGGAAAGTAATTTATAATCAACTGAAGACAATATGAGTAAGAGACAGAATATCAAAAGCCTGTGGTAATTGAATTGATTACAAATTGTATTTGGGCAATGAAGTACAACATAAGTTGAAATAAGGCAGGTTTATTAGTCAGCTAATTCAAAGCATTGAATGGCTGGCTTAGTCTCATCCTCAGCTAACTCATCCTATGGTGTCCCGCAAGGCTCAATCCTGGGTCCGATTTTATTTTCCATGTACATGCTGCCTCTCAGTGACATCATTTGGTAAATACATTGTCCATTTTCACTGCTACGCTGACGACACACAACTCTATCTACCAATCAGACCGGTCTAACATAACAATCCTCCACAACTGTCTCACTGAAATAAAATACTGGACGACAGACAATTTCTTGCAATTAAATCAAACTAAATCTGAACTCATTGTACTTTGGTCCTTCTGCAAAAAGAATTCAAATCATAGAAAACTCAAATAACAAACTACATGAAACCCTCCGACAAAAATCGTGAAGTAATCTTTGATCAGGTTTTGTGTTTTACACCAAAGTTATTCAGTCATGTTTTTTTTTCAACTTATCAAGTCTTTTAATTCAGCCACAGATCATAGAAAAGTGTGTTCACATGACTCCGGTCTCAGCATCTCTACACTGGCGGCCTGTTCATTTCAGGGTTGATTTTAAAATCATTTTTACTTTTACTTCACTTTATTACTTTTAAGGCCAGGTTTGGGCTGACTATATGTCTGCTCCCTATATGTCTGAGCTTTTATCCCCTTATGATCCATCACTTCTTAAGACTAATTTTTTTGAAAATTCTTATTGTGTTCTATCTTTTTAATCTAATTTAGATTTTACTTTGATTTGTTTGGATGTTTTATATTTGACTCATTTGAAGCAGCACAAAAGTGCTACACAAATACCGTCTTATTATTATTATTATTATTATCATCATTATCATCATTACTTTCATTGTTATCATTAGCGTGAGTTGTCCACTGATCGGAAGGTCGGTGTCCTTGAGGAAGATACTGATACTGATCTGTCATTGTGTGTGTGTGTGTGTGTGTGTGTGTAGGTCTATAGGATAAAGCTCTGGGTGATGTCTAATGCACTTTGAGTAATCGATAAGACTAGATAAGCGCTATATAAGTGCAGTCCATAAGATGAGTAAATGCATTAAAACATCAATTGGAGGTGGTCGAGACGTAGACGTTAAAAAGAAGAAGGTTCGATCTTGAGGGATCTTAGTTGCATCGTTTACCGCTCTGTCTCTGTTTCCTGTCTTCAGCTCTACTGTCATGACAGAATAAAGGCAAAAACAAAACAAAATGAATAAAGAAAGAAAATAAAAAAGGTTAATTAAAGTAGAATAAAATGAGGTATTATACAATACAATATATTTTTTGTAAAATTAAGTTGAAGTTTATTAAATAATTTTATTATCAGTTGCAGTGCTTTATTATTTCATATGTAATTTGTAGGTGTAACATTTAAGTTGGTTATTTACAACCCCTTCAGTGTGGAGCACCTTTGGTTCCCGCCTGCCACTGTTTGCAGGGGGACAGGTGTGAATGTGACAGTGTTTTTGATGGACATGTCCTGCTAAGAGGACAGAATAAAGTCGAGTCAACTGTCATACTGTGTTGGTGGTGATTATAGACGAAAGTTAAAAGAAAATTGTAGCCCACTTGTCGCGCTATCGACCAAGAAATCAGGGTAACACAATCAAAACACTTCATCGACACATTTGTCACTCATAACACACTAAAAAAAACCACCACAATATGTACCACTATTGTCTTTGAAGCTTTTATGTCTTTACAGTATTTAGCAGGTGACATGACAACAAAAAACAACGACACTTCTCCACTGAATAGACTGTTCTACCTTCAGTAAACGTCACAGAAATCAATCAGAGAGGCTGCGATACAAAACCAAGAATCTTTCTGCACGCCTGATCCATCCCTGCCAGTCTTACAGGGTCATCCACGGCGTCCAGGAGAGGCACGAAAAGGAGAGTAAGAAATGTGGAAGGTAAAGTGACATGGGGTGTAACCCTCTCTGGTCTTTGTCTGTATTATTTTATTCACACGTGTCTGTACACAAGGTCAGTCACAGGTCACTATGGTCCATTGTTTATCTGTAGCTCAGTGAGCGTGCAGCTGCTCCACTCACATCAGCAGTAGTCATAGTAACCAAGGTTACATCGATAGCAAGTGTAGCGGAGATGTAAACATTGAGTAGAGAGGAAGACGCTCCTTAAGATCCTCAGTGAGAGTCAGGTGAGACATCAGATCATGTTTAGAGATGTGGAATGACTTGAAGTGCTTTGGATGGTGTTAAACAAGTTAACATCTGTAATTCTCCATTTCCTGTCTCCTTGATGCACCAAGCTCCAAAAAGTACTTCTGCTTCAGACAGTACGTGTCTCCTGATTGCTCCTTCATCCTTAAAAGATTTCCATCTCCAGCATCGTCTGTTATGACCCACTTAAGAAAACGTCCAGGGGAACACAGGCAGTAACATCAATACTCTTAACAAACCACAACAACAAAGAAAAGGTTTTATCCCTCCTCCACTCAGACTGGCTTCAGGTTACATCCCTGTTTATCCAGAGTCATAGAAAGTATGAACCATTTGTGTGAAATTTTGTCATAATTGCTGTGTGAAATCTTCAGTAATGGCTAAAAAATGTTTTTTGAGGTGAGTCCCCAAAACTTAATCAATTCATCCTTGAGTCCAGGTGAATGTGTGCGCCAAATTTGAAGTCGTTTTTTAAGGCGTTACCGAGACATCGTGTCTACAAGAATGGGATGGACAGACGTACATACGGACGAATGTACGGACAATCCGAAAACAGAATGACTCTGTTGCTGGTGCAGAGGGATAAAAAGAGGTGGGTCAGACACATAGAAAATGTAGCAGGGTGTTCATTATTAGACTAACACATGAAGCAAAATGCAACAAAACGAACAAGAGATTCAGGGAAGCAAGAAACATCGGGTTTCTACGAGGCCAGACGAATAAAACTCAGGTAACCTACACAGTCAAACAAAACAGAAACTCTTGGAAACAGAGTCAGTCGCCAAGGACGAGAAAGAATCCTACTCACGAAGAACAACCACAGCAACAACACAACAGACTCACAGGCAGCTCGGTGGCCAAAGGGCCAGAAACACCAGCTCTTGGAGGCTGATATAGCTGATCCACTGATGAGGAAGTGACACACGTCTTCCATAGAAGTCGTCAAGGGATGAAAATAAGATCTCAGCGTGCTACATCTCATTTAGGAGGTCATGCATTTTTTTAAAAGATTTATTTTTAGATTTAAATGCAGAGTTTTGGCAGCGGTTGAGTTTGAGTGAGAAGACAGGTCATGAATTTTGAAAGATGCAAAATATCTTGTGGCACGAAATGGAGCTTATTTCAAAAGCACCCCCAAAAGAAAGTAAGTGAGTTCCCAACAATGGACCTTCTTACTGAGGACCTCTATTATTTTAGGTCAGATCATATTGTGCAGATTCCAAGATAAAGTTGTGTCTAATTAAACAACCGTAAACTAATGGAGACGGACATAGGAGCTCTGGTTGGTTTCTTGATGCCATAAATTGAAGATATCATATATGGTATAGCGTGGCCAGTTGTTTACTTGTTCTTGTTTTTTCCTTACTAGCAGCATCAGGTTAAGAAGACCAGAAATGAAATGAAAACCAGGGACATTTCCAGTTCAGCGCTCAATACATCCTTAAAATATCTAATGGTTTTAATCTAAAAAATAAAAAGGGAGACAGTCTCAGTCGCATCTAATGTAATAAGCTATGGTGAAGGACGACTGATAAAACAGTGACTCTCTACCTTTGAAGAGGTTGTGAAATCTGATTGTCTGTCTCGATTATTTATATTTCTTTAGTTCGTAAGAGACCACCGATCAAAAATAAAATCAAAAGAGTTTTTCATAAAAGTATTCCAGGTTGTGGATACTGCCGTGTGAAGTCCTTTACATACCAACTTCTTCTTCTTCACTTCTTCCAACATGCAAACAGTTTTTTCGAGTTCTTGCTGGGGGCTTTGTGTACATTTTGTTTCGTTAGCTTACTGCCTGGTGATGAGCTCCTAACCAATGAGTGAGCCAGCTAACATTTTCTCTGCCTAGAGAAAACAACAAAAAAAAGAAAAATCTGATTGAACGATTATATTTCGACGGTTTTGGCTTCACATCTGAAGCTGCTAGAGCTAACAGCTAGCAGCTAGCAGCTAGCGCCATCTGTTGGCCAAAACAAGCAACAAAGCTAGACTTCTGTTTTTAATTCACAGTTAAAAACTCAGGTACAGACATTAAAAAAATATATATCATCCAGAAAACACAATATATTCATGTTGGTTAAACGAGCCCATCTTACATTACATTCCTACATTACATAAACCCAATTACTGTGACGCCAACTTTGATTTTATACTGAAAGCTGCAACGGGAAGTGAGGTTGTGTCTGTTACCCGGTGACTTCACACAGAGAACCCCTCCCTTTCTCACCGTTCACTCCTGTGCGGTGTTTTATTCTGGGTAAGGTAAAAAAAAAAGAAGATGCGAATTCACACTGCGACTTGTGCACCAGAGAGCGGATACCTCTGCAGACGGGCTGCCCTCCCAGCCGGTCTCAACACCTCCCTGTGATATGAACACTTTGACAACAGCTAATGACTGTGACTGCTGGTGAGGAGACTTGTGTCGCCTGTTGCTCCTATGCCTGTCTCTGCTGTGTTATGTTTGCGCTGTCTGTCCTCTGCTACTGTCGCTGCCTTCATTCATTTTTTTATTTTTTTATTTTTTTTATTTTTTTTATTTTTTTTTTGTGCATGGAGAAATTGTTTTTTTTCTTTTCTTCTTTTTTTTAAAATGTGATTTATGATTCAGATATTGGATGATTATAAATGTATACTTTCACCAGCCGCTCTGTATTCCGCCTTTTCTGACCATTAGACAACATGAAGCGTTGATTTGGTGTTGGCAGTACAGGTAGGCTGGTGCGTGATGTTTTCTCAGGCGACGTCCTGCCAGACGCCATTGTCAAAAAGATCTATTTTTATGTTTCTGTGCTTATTACCGAAACGACACCGCACTTAGAATACAAACAAACGTAAATTTCACGCGATTAAAAGCCACACATTAATTCGGCGCACAGTGAACGTACCATCGGATCTCACTTTCTTGCCATTTCCAACTTTATTCCCGCTTCGGCCGCAGTTTCTTCTGATCTTCTCCCAATTAAATGCGCCGCGGCGGGCGGCAGCAACCGGTGCGAGCCGCTGATAGAAGTTAGATTTTTATTGAAATAACTGAAGCTGGAAACGTTTATTAATGTGCCGAATTACTATATCACTCCTCTGGATTCACAATCTGGGTTTTACCCTGCAATTAGTCTCACTATTAAATGGCAGTAAAGATGGATGTGTAAAATTAGGAAATTATTGAATGGAGTTTTGCGTGACGTTCTCTCCATTTAAGGTGTAACGGGGCCAGTTCAGACAGCGCTAGGTTTACATTAGCTCTGTTTAAGGAGCTGTAGGCAGCAGCTGGGTCTCCTCCTCGGTGCTGTTCCTCAGATCCACCCCGGTCACATGGAGCTGTGTTGATTCATATTTAGTTATTATCCTCCAGCCTGTCACATTCACAGCAGCCAGACTCCTGACTATGGAGCCTTGTCTCATTTGGATGGAGAGAGCGATGAGACAAACTCAATTAGTCCCTTTGAAGATGAATCTTCAGACCCAAACAGACTGTAAATAACTTTTACAAATTGCTTGTTTTCATAAGGACGCTGGTGTTTTCATGTGGGGGGAGGATATTGTTGGAATAACAGTAAAACCAGTTTAAAAGATTAGATTAAAATGCATATTCACTGTCATTACCTCTGTTTAGTCCAAACTAAAAACATGAAGTCTTATTAAATGTTACTAAACATATTTATATACATGTAATATTTTATACTTTACAATTATGATGCAGTTTGTGCTTGTTCATAGCAGAATTGTTGAATTGACTATTTGCTATATCAAGGAACACATAACAATTATTTTCCTTTTTCGGTTGATTTATGAAATGTCTGAAATTAGAAAAACAAAAAAAATCAGCCGTCACAAGTTCCCTGTCTAAATATATTTGATTCACTATATGGAGCTAATACAACCAGGAGAAGCAGCTGATCTTTACGGTGAAGCTGGAACTAGTGAATGTTATTCAGTGATCAATCTTAACGGTGTGCAGGTGAGGAGACTGACGATCCCAGGTTTCCAGCATTGACATAGATTACATTCCACGTAAATCCATAAATATCTCGTGCCACAATTTGAGATGTTTCTTATTTTATTTGTTCAATTCTTTATATATTATATATTCAGTAAATTTAACATGACATTCACCATTGTTTAATGTCCTTATTATTTATTGTGAGTCATTCTGTAACTGTTTCATACTATTTTGATATTTACTAATCTCAGTGTCAGTGTCTGGAGCCTCGTTAAGACTCGTCCCAGTAAATTAAGTAAAGTGTAAAACAGGACTTTACTTTACACTGATTGTACTAAAGTAGAACAGATGCGCGTTTTTTACCTCAGTTTCACAATCAGTGAAATTGTTCTTCTGTCTCGTCTTTCTTCTCTGTGTCTCATCACTTGTGGAAATGAGGCGCCCAATTTCTCAGCGAGTGAGATTTATAAAGCTGAACCATGCGGACGCAAGGCTTTACGATTCTGATCTCTAAAGAACGGGTGTGAATATTTCTTGGTTCGTGCCTTCACTTAGTTTTTAGTCATTAATCTACACAGAGGTTTTATGCATCTGGCCCCTGGAGTTGAACCTGTAACTGCTGCCAGAAGGATTCAGAGGCAGACTGGCAGTTTTTATCCATTTGCAATTTAAAATCTACAGCGTGCAAAAAGAGACTTTGTGAAGCCACTGTTATCCACTGATCCTGTCCAGTGGAATGTGCCACTGCATTAATTCATTTCCTCTGTGATACTGTAAACACAGTTACAGTATCACCCTCATTAGAAAAATATCTGGCTCTTTAGCTGCCAAACACTCCACAGTGTTCACCAGCCAGTCGGTGACTCTGTGTGTGTGTGTGTGTGTGTGTGTGTGTGTGTGTGTGTGTTGTTTGGTGGTCCACAGTGAATTCATCAGTGTTTTTTGTGCTGAGAACAGCTGCCTGCTGCGACTGGAGATGACAGTGATGACAGCAGAGAGACTGAAGCAAAACAGCAGATCGTAAAACAACGTGAAGTCTCTGTAAAGGTCCGTTGTTCTGCAGGAGACTGAGCGACGCCTCTCACATCACACTCAGGCGTTAATGTTCAAATCCACAACAGACAAACCTGTAGGATGATCAATAAGACTGTGTATACTCCCACTGATTGTGCAGCTGTTGAAACGTATAATTGATTAAACTCTACGACGATCAGTCTCGTGCCCGCGGAGACGGCGGTGTGCTGTCAGCCGATAGAAGGCGTGTAATCCCTCATTCTTACAGGTCAGGTGATCTGACCTTTAGTGACATCAGAGCAGAAGCCTCGCCGCGAGGTTTCGCAGGTCGCAGTGTGTGAGACGTGCCGGCTCGTCCTAGTGATCCACCCTTCTGAAACAAAAAGAGCTCCTCCCATCTCAGGGAACACAGACACAGCAGGTGAAGCGTTGGTGCAAAACTACAGAAGAGATTTTGTTTTCAGGTTGTCTGTCCGTCCGTCTCATGGACACGATATCTCAGAAACGCCTCAATGGAAATTCTTCTAATTTGGCACAAACATTTGCTCGGATTCAAGGCCGAACTGATCAGATTTTGGGGGTCAAAAGTGACGGGCGTGGTGACCTCACAAAACACAATTTCAGCCTTGTGGATGCAGTATCTCAGTAACATCTTGCAGGAATTTCTCCAAATTTGGTAAAAACGTTCATCTACACTCAAGGACAAACTGAGTAGAATTTGGTGGATACAGGTCAAAGGTCAAGGTCACGGTGACCTCACAAGAACATGGTTTTGGCCTTGTGAATGTGATATCTTTGAAGGAACTTCTTCAGATTTGGCAGAAACATTTATTTGGACTCAAGGATGAACTGATTAGATTTTGGTGGTTAAAGGTCAAAGGTCACAGTGACCTCAGAAAACAGTTTTTAGTCATTACTCAAGATTTCACAGCAATTATGACAAAATCTCTCTGACCGTGGATAAACAGGGATGTGACCTGGAACTAGTCTGAGTGGCGGAGGGATACGACCACGAGGAGGTGGTTCTAGTTTCTTTATAATTCTCGCCTTTCTCCTTTTGCTGTTGTCAATGCTTCCACGCACCATGGGCCTTGTTGATGAAGATGGCTAGGGGTTCATCACTTTTTTGTGTCCCCTGGAAACACTTCCATTGTCGTCTGTGCTGCATGTTTCTGTGTTTGCTTGTGTTGTCAGTATTTGCAGCGCATGAAGTTGCTGACGATGTTTTCTGAACGTGATCCTGTTTTGTCGGTTTGAATGTGTTTTCTGAAGTTGCAGTGCGTTGAGCTCTCCGGGCCGCCGTAGGTCACAGCCTCAGTTTGCTTCAAACAAAGTGCGTGTCAGACCGCCAGGAGCTCAGAGGCCGTAACTATTCAACAATCACCCTTACCGTACGCAGCGATGGGCCGACTGTGAGGTTTGAGTTTGAGACCAGTCCCATCTCTTCGTATGCGAACAAAAACACACTAAAGACACAGCTGTTGGAGACGTGCAGACAGTATGATGCAGTCAGAGGACAGCTATGATACCAGGCTTTTCACGCTGCCTGTGAGTCTGCCCATTGACCACGCAGTAGGAACTTGTTCACCCTGCACACACTCTTTAAGATGTAACCTCCCTAAAAAAAGAAAAACATAAACTTTTCAACCAAATTTAGCAGAGCCCACGTACAAGCCTAGAGCTGCATAGGACCTTATTCTGAGACGCTTTTGGTTCAACAGACAGAAATAAGACTTCACAAAGTCACATATTCATGTCATCTGAAAGGCCCTGCGAGCTAATGGCTCCAGATTCCATGTGACAGCACCATTTTTTTTAGTGGCGGTGGCGGTGTTCGCTCCGAGGGACAGCAGTGTCGGTCCATTACTTTGGCCCAGACTGGAAGGTCTGAACAACCATCGGGTGGATTGACATTTTGTAAAGACATTCATGGTGAAAATGAATCTTTCCATCTCGTGCCACCAGCAGGTCAAAGTTTTCACTCTTTCCATTTAATTTCCATTCATTGCCACAGTATTATATTATACAGACATTCATGGTTCCCAAACACTGTGTCCTAAAGACCGAGTGACGTCTCCTCTAGTAGCAACATGAACAACAGTTCAGTTCATGATTCAGATTCTTATCTGTTCCCCTTTTTAATTATTATTAATGACTTCCTCTTTTCATCCACAGCCAATTTTCAATCTGTCTAATACTTATCTTATAAATAACTTCAGAACTAATGACATTCCCATTATTCTCAGCTGCACTTTGTGTTTATGTTTGTTTTATTCCAATAAAAATGTCAACATGCTAACATGCTAATATAAGACGGTGAACATTGCCTGCTAAACATCAGCGCTAACATTGTTATTGTAGCATGTTAGCATGTTGACATTAGCATTTAGCTTCAAAGGTATAATCCGGAAGAGGCGTAAAAGCTGTAACAAAGAAAATGAGGCTCTACAGAGTAACATCCAACATCTCGTGACATCCAATCACAAGTGGACGCACTCAAGACGCATTTGAGATCCGATCACTCAGACCATATTCAGAGGTGGTCTAGACCACGTGTGGCCACAGTCTTTTAGCAGTTGCATTGGTCCTGTTCAGACCTGGTATTAACATCCGTCTCGAGTGACCCGATTACAAGTGGTGAGCTCGAAGTACGTCAGTTCACACCTGGATTACAAATGCATCTAAAGTGACCAGTTGTGATCGGATCTCAGTGAGCACCACATGGATTAGACGTTATAAAATATTTCACTATTTCAAATGGATAAAACCTTATTTCACTGTAGAGCTACAGTGCATTGATTTGCTCTCTCTCATAGTGAAACTGGCTGAAAACAACAGCACATTTGGTCTTTGCAAAAAGAACCGATGAAGGTGTTTACTTGCATGTAGAGCCGGGAAGTGAGGTCCGGTCACAGGTGGGCGCTGGAGACGGCCGATGTGAACTGACGTACTCAGAGCAACAGCAGTGGCAACAGTGGGATGAACTTACATGTGTCCACGGCAGCAGAACGTTGTTTGCACAGACAGATCTCGTCCAACCTGGAAGAGAGAAACTGAAACTGGTATCGATCCTATTGACGCTAAAATCGATCTTCAAGTATAGATATTTTGGGATTGATCCGCCCACTCCTAAGTGGAAGAGTTTCTCATTTGTAATTACAACATGGATTTTGATGAGAACACTATTTACAAGTCGGAAACTAATTATAATTTTAATGTGGCATCAGGGCTGTAACATGAGGCTGGTATTGATCTTTTAATCTCTGAATGGCATCCCTATAAAATGTCTTGTAACCATAGTCAACTCCTAAAAATCAAGTGCTGTCCGGAAGCTGCTTGTCAACTGCAAACCGAGCTCCTCTTGTGTCAGGCAAATCAATTATCAGGCCAGTTTCAAAAACATGGAGAAGAAATGTTTTGACGTTGTTAGCTTAGATACAGTTTGAAATAACCTTTTAAACGCCTTTGCTTTAGGTTTGACCTTGTTCCAAATCACAGATAAAAGTCAAACAAAATCAGAAATCATGATAGTCTCTTGTCAACTTATCAACAATCAGTTCAAGCTAATGCTATCATGATAATGACACTGACGCGGGTTACGGACAATAGTTCAACCTGTCTTTGTGTTTGATCTTGTTTCAGGCCTCAACCCAGCATGGTAATATCGGTTCACCCTCCAGTATCTTCAGTGGGCAGTCAGTGAGGAACCGTCAACACTATGCGATGTGCGTGAGGGATGAGTGGCGGTTGTGGCCCCAGGCGGGATGCTGCTGACGGCCGGTCAGTATGACTCTGCTGGACCTGTGGCTGTCACGCTCCCTCCCCATGTGCCTGCTCCTTCAGAGCCTTGTCCTCATGGCCTTGTGCTTCCCCTCGGCCAGCATGTGTCCAAAGGGCTGCATCTGCCAACGTGACCCCCACCTCCACGGCATCAACGTTACCTGCAGTCAGTCCCGCCTCAAAGAGATCCCCCCCAGCCTCCCGGTTGACACTGTCCTGTTGAGGCTGGATCACAACCAGATCGGAGCCGTGCCCGATCAAACCTTCCACGGACTTCGGCTTTTGAGGGAGCTTAACCTTTCCTACAACGCTGTGGAGACTTTAGGGGAAGCAGCCTTCAGTGGCATAGAGGCGACTTTACAGGTGCTGGACCTCTCCCACAACCGTATCACAAGCGTACACAAGGATGCTTTCGCTCGGCTCAAGGCCCGCGTCATCGTGGACGACAACCCGTGGCATTGTGACTGTGCTCTCCAGCAGGCCATCAGCGGAATGGCCCACAACCACGATGCCGCCGCCCGCGTGCTCTGCAGGAGCTCAGAGGTTCATGACCAGGAGGGAAGACCTTTCTTGGCAGTGGACACTGACCTCTGCAACCTGGCCAAAAGGACCACAGACTACGCCATGTTGGTGACCATGTTTGGCTGGTTTGCCATGGTCATTTCATATGTGGTGTATTACGTCCGACAGAACCAGGAGGACGCCCGGCGCCACCTGGAGTACCTCAAATCTCTCCCGAGCAAGCCCAAGAAACCCGACGAGGCCGACGACATCAGCACTGTTGTCTGACGGCAGCGTCACAGTGACTGCGTCCACCGCAAACCTAATGAACACCAAAATGTTCACGTGACAGGACCCACACTAATGTTTACTATTTGTACCACTAGTGATGTGAGCATCAAAACTGCAGATCAATCTTTGTATTTTAGACATTTTGTTGTATGTCCTTACCAGGGTTTGTTCACGACTGATCTGAGATAAGTTGAGATGGGAGGCCACAGTCTAACAGTCGAATGCCAACGTTATCTTTTCTACAGAAATTGCTTATGGAGTTTTGAAAATTTGAATCTCAGGTTTAAATAATGGTTGTTTTTAGATTAAAATTTGGAATATCTGATAAATAGAAATATATTTTTAAGTCGCAACACCCTATACTCTATTTCCCAGAGCCCTTATTTTGGTATCTCAAAGCCCACGATAAGGTGTACGTTGAGTTTTGTAAACACTTGCTGAAACAATTGCATCTTTCATGCACCTTTAAAATTAAATCTAAATTACAATATCCACACAGAAACTTCAGCATTTCTGAACCCATGGTATTTGATCTATACATTGTGTAATACTATTACAGCTTTGGTGACCTGTCTTTGATACAGACAAATCACATTTAAGCCCGAATACAGACAAGTAGTCAAGATTCCACTGAAATATCTTGTGAATGATCTCACACTGTGGCTAAGGAGAATACTGGGTGCTATGGAAGCTTATTTTTCCAAGTAAGGAAACTAGTAAAATGTTAAGAAGGAATTAAAAATAAAAATGCTCACTTAAAATGATGTGATAGTACGTAAACATTTTGACTTTCTACGTGAAATTCGTGAGATACTAAATCAAGATTTTGTCTTTGTTTGTTATGAGATACAAACTCGAGTATCATATATTAAATTACTTAAAGTGCTTTACTTTTTAAGTCAAAACTAAGAGCTGGTAAGTCACAGTGGTCGCTAGCTTCTTTAGCTAACCTGTCAGTTACTCGTTGTATCACCATGAACGAGGCTAATTTAGCTTAGCACCAGTGGTCTTCTTATCACAGTTCAGGGCTGCAGTTCTGGCTTCTGGCCAAAACCACCCTGATATGTGGAAAACTGCAGTTGTTAAAACTGTAGGCTGTAGCTCACAGACAAGACTCTTTCATATTATATTAAAATAAGAAAAGAAGGAAGGAAGGAAGGAAGGAAGGAAGGAAGGAAGGAAGACATTATAGCCACACAACAAACCATAACATCCATTCCAACTGTGAAGGAATCAGGGCTGCCCCCAACCAAAGTTTCTCCTAGTCGACTGGTAGTCGTCAGTTCAGGCGATTAGCTGACTAGTCGTTGCACGTTTATGATATTAATTTAATTACTTAAATTAGTATTTTTTGGGGGGAGCATCAGAAAGTGGTTTGAGTCCAGGGCTGAGAAAGAATATAAGTAACACGGCTAACGGCGTGCTACAGTACAGAGAAATACAAAGCCGTGATAATGAGCCACGGTAATGATTCTGAAAGTGTCGTAACAACCAGCAAGGAGAGTGTTAGCATTAGCGTCCATGCTAAGTTGCTAACTTTAAGCTACTTACATGTTTCAAATGACAAGCGCTGTTTTAGGTCAATGAATGAGAGGCGAATGTTTGTCTGCAGAGTTTGCGTCACCTTAGCTGCGGTCGTTCCTTTAGCCGCTTGAAGCGTTGGAGTTCCTGTTCTGTGTTCACAGGTTGTTTTGATATTTCAGTTGCCGTAAGACAGGAATGTTGTCTCGCTTGTCACACGTGTGTTAGTAAAAATAAAGTTGTTGCTGCTATTTATTGTACTACATCTCTTAAGTCGCATTTATTATTTCATTACTGAATCTTCCAGTTAGTCAAACCCAAGAGTCTCAGTTAGAGACCCGTCGTGTAAATGACGTCTGTCCGTGACTGACTGAGTGACTTCCTGTCAAGTTGTTTTTTTTTGTCCTGTGACCAACTGACCAATCAAAATTTGGTCGACTTAGACCGTCTCAGTCATTAGCGTTTGGTATTTGTGGGCAGCCCTAGAAATTATATATAATTTAAATTTCCCAACGGTATTTGTGTTGTAGTGGAGCCAGTGACCCCAGTTGTAGCAGAGCCACGAAAAGTACAGAACATTAAACTTTTTGAAACATATGAAATATGAAAAAATCTTCACAAGATCAAGATCCATAATGTTTAAACGCAAATGTTCATTGATATATAACTAGAATGGCGTCCAGTAGAGTGTACACCTCCAAACAGTCCCACACATGTCTATTAGATCTGGATTATTATCTGGATCTTCACCAACTTGTACAAACTCATAGATCTCAACCTAAACATTTACATCACAATATAAACATTATTTCCTGAGATATTGACGAAAATGTCAAAAAAAAGGCCTCCTCTCGCAATGTTATGGAAAGTCATAAAATAAATAAATCCTGGATCCACCCCTTTTAACCCGACCCTCACCGAAATGTAACGGCCCATGCCCATCACCATCTCCACTAGGTTTGGGTGCAAATGGGTTCAGTTCTTCTTGTGTAATCCTGCTGATAAACAACTGAACAATAACAGTCAAAAAATTGTCATTCATGAATAAATCTGGATGTAACGATGATGAGAAATGTAATGGAACCATCCTGAAAATATCTAGTTATAATGTGAAAAAATTCTCCTTATAATGAGAAACCAACTTTTTTTTTTTTTTTTTTTGGTCATGGTGACGGTAATAAATTGATGTACCAAACACCACATGTCAGACATTGAGTCATTGCAGTTAACATCCTGATCACCACCCACATGAACATTAATGTACAATAAAAACTGAAATGCCCTTAAACTTTAAATAGTCTGAAATAAAATCTGACATCATGTAAATTATGTTCAAGAAAAGTCAAGATGTAAAAAGATTAGTTCTGAATATTAAATCTGGCGGACATCTATAGTAACTGAGACAGTAGATATTTGATTTTAAGAAGGAACCCCAAAATGCTCTTGATGAACTCTTGATCATGGAAATAGTAGTTTGACCAATTACCAACTTTAGCTGAGCTTCTGCGTTTGATTGGTCATATACTGTATGTACTCAAAAGGAGTGGGTGAACTCACAATCAGTCAACACCTTAAGATGTCTGCTGGTGCTTGGTTTGACTTCCTGTCCAACACATCACTGAAGGGGTGAGGACGATAAGGACTCTTGATTCTGTACCTCACAATTTTACGTCTGATGCCAATGTTCAGGAAGTAATAATTCCCTTTAGGTCGCAAATTGGTGGATACAGCATAAAGAAAGGTAACAAGCTGAAAGGTGAAGGTGTGGTGGTTGGTGTGACAGAAGGCCGTGTAGCGTCCTCTCACTGAGTTTTAACATTGGCCTTTTTATTAACCTTAACCATGACCTTTCCCTAACCTTTACCAGTTGTTTTAGTCACCAACCCTAACCACAGCTTAACCACAAGCTTTCTCTAAACTCAGTTGCCATGTGCAGACAGTGTAGAAAGTGAGAATATTAGAAACTTTGGCATAGAAAATAAAAAACATTGCCATTCTGCAGATCTGTCCAATATCTGCATTTTTGTCTGGTGAAAGGAATCTCTCTATATGCAAGGACTTGTTGGTCATGTGATGACGCTGAAGTCGGCATTAAATCTGGACTCCTGCCTGTCACGACAGATCCTGCAGTCAGACGTGAGCTGTCCGAGGCGCTTCCATCACTTTCCATCAGAACCAAAAACAAGATGCACTTGAAATTCTCACAAGTCTGAGACGGGAGGAGAGACACAAGGAAACTGTGGGACACTGCAAAACAAAACACCATGGCTACAAAGAGTTCGAAGAAGAGGTGGGGGCAGGACTGAACTCTGGCCCTTGTCCAGCTCCATCTCTCGCTGGACATAAACAAACTGGTGTTTTTCGACGAGTGACTTTCTTTTTTTTCTCATCAGCCGTCACAGATGTCTCTTCAGCTAGAGTGATCTTTGAATCAATACATCTGGTTGTTGTTGTCTGAACACCCTCACACCCACGTGACAACAGTCAGGAGAAGAAATGTTTTGTGGTTCCAGCAGCACATTAAACTCTGAGATTTTCAAAGTCTTGTCGTCTGCACTAAATCGACCGTGAGTTGAGATTATTTTGTCAAAAAACCAAGAGTGTTGAACAAGACGTTCTGGAACCTGAGGTTTTTGGTTCTGGTTTAACGGCGCCTCTGGACACACGAGACTGTCCTGTAAAAAACAAGCCCACAGGTCGTCTGTGCAGCAGGTTATTATGACCCGTAGTTACGTTTTGTTGCTAGGCGACACCTAGTGGTCGTAGTAATTATGACGGGAGCAAAGGGAAAAGATCGGTGACGTAGGTTGTGGTGGACGGGTGAATATGACACAGGAGAGCGGTGTTCGATTCCCATGTTAAACCAGCTGTTAATACTGTTACCATGACAACAAAGACCGTGTAATGTTGAGGCAGCACTTATTTTAACCCAAATCACCATCTATTTCTAAACCTAACCAAGCAAAGGTAGTTAACGCACATGTTACATATTATTGTAACCATGACAACCCAGGTCCAGTACGCCTGCCGACGTAGGGGCCGTTTCAGGAGACACTCCTGTGGGTCGTATCAGAGGGTTGCTCAGGTTGGAGGAGGTGATGGGACAGGCTGCTTCTGTGTGGTACTGTACATTTCTTTCTTCAGTTTGTGAAGTCTGGGTTTGTTGCTGTTGTTTAATCAGTTCTCGTCAGAATGAATTTTAGATGTTTATCTGCACTGATCACAAGTAAGCACAAGACTACATGTCAGTTTCAGTGGATTCTTTTTTGTTGGTGTTTTGTGGTTTGGTTCAGTCCTTCCCAGACAGAGCTGGTCATTTTTACAGTTTGCTTTTTTTTATTTATTACCAGCTTAATGTCTCTCTTACCAGGCCCTCTCAAGGGGGAGGACAGATTTATCACATGTATGGATGTCACACTACAGTATATCATCATCTCAGTCATCACAAATTAACACAAACCTTCCTATTCCAAGTCAAGGTGCCAATGCATGCATCATTTCCCTTTAATAACACTGTGTACAGTAATGTTCCCAGCAGCAGCAGCAGCAGCGGGTGAAGAGAAAATTGATGCTATCATCATCACAGTCACTGGAGCCCACTAAAACATAGGACCAGATAAAAAAAATCACATGACTGACACGTAAAAGGGACTAAAAATTTTATTTTCACAAAAAAAAAGCTTATTTCATATATAAAACCCACTTTAAATAATAAATCCTGCACAGTTGGTGACGTGTTAGATGCTGGGAGTTGGTGGTATCTTGTAAAAATTTCCTTTCAGGTCACAGAAGTTGTACAGTAATGGTTGTTAAAATGATGCAATGACAATATGTAGGTAGAGAAGACTAGGATCACATGTAAATATGAACGTTGATGTTGTGTGAAATACTTGAAATCCCTTTAATAGTTGTTCTTGAATGTGCTCCAACCCTTAGCCTTGTCTTTGTAGAGGCAATCTCATACTCCTCATGACAGGATCAGGATAGTAGACAGTAAAATGCATGTACAATGTAATGAAGCACAGTGTAGCCAAGGAACTGAAAGTATTTCTAAGTGCCTGAATACTTATCTCAACATTTTATTTTTTCATTTATGTCCTCTTTATCCATCTCTGGTATTTGCTGTGAACTCTTAGTTTAGGATTTTCACTGTTTCTCGATTTAAGTTTATTTTGCAAGTTAGAAAAAAGAAATTATATCAACTATGTTGATGTAACAAAGCTGTTAAACTCAATTATACTATACCATATTACAGTTCTCTGTGCACCAACCGCAGTGTGTGGTAGACTAATTCACAGTTAAGGATGATAATGTTAGCACTGACTATCATGGTTTTGTGTAATGGCATGACATACAAAAAATGAAATAAAGAAAGTATGCATTGTTTCACGGTATATTTTATTTCCCTTTTGACTTAAAAATACACAGCTTCATAGCAGTAGCTAATTATCTAGCTTGTTTAATACACTATGCTTTCTTGTCTACACATTATTGCTAATGTTAGCTAGCTTCTAACTTTAGCCTTTAGTTACAGTTTAGCTAACTAAAGCTAAGCTTTTCATTTCCAATGTTGGCTTGCCATTTCATTACCAATATATAATGTCATATATTATCTAATTAAAATAAAAACTGGGTAAAAACCCTTTAACAAATGTATTAAAATGTCAAAAGTGTCTGAATATAATTTATTCTGATCCCTTGTTCAGTTCCTTATTTATATTTAATTATTATTTTAATGGCTCAACTTTCTCTATTTGTATGTTCCTTTCATTTTATCTTATTTCATGTATTTCTGGCATCATGTAAATCCAGAATTTGCTGTCCTGGAGACAGCACACCAGATTCCATAAACAAAATGCGCCTCCTGCTCACATCTGTCACGTTCTTTGCATTCTCCCTATATAAGATATGGTAAACATTTCAAGCTGCACTCTTACAGTTACATTATGTAAGACCAAGGTGTTGTTTGCCCTGTGGAAACATTTGTGTTGAGTCTGAGAAATCGAGGCCACAACAACTCCCACAATGCTCCTGTTTTTACCTCTGCTGCTACTGTAGTTGTTTTTAACACTACAAACAGATTTCTCCCGCGTATGAGGTCACAGCTCTTGTTCTTGCTCAGTGTACAGTATGTGGGTTGACCTGGAGCAGCGAGCGCGCGCAGCACACCCCGTTAAGACAATCTGTTTTTAGTCACTTTCACACCTGATGACTGTTGACGCTCACTTGGTTCTTTCACTGCTTTAACATGCATTTCCCCAACTCCCCCGAGACTCCAGCTAAACTGGGAGATGAAAAACCAAGAAAAAAATTAAATAAAAAAAACAAAAAACACTGGCTCACTGTATTAATTCATTGTACTTTGCAAATAAAAACATGCCATTTTGTATAAATGCACAATAGCATGTGGCAGGAGCTTTTTCCTCTGTTTCTCTCACTGCTCTGTATTAATGAGGGAAAGTGTGGAGGATGTGCAGCTACAGATGTCACCAGTCTGTGATTGATTCACTTCCTGACCTTTGAGGAATCAAACTCATGCACGTGTGTGTGTGTGTGTCTGTGTGTGTGTGTGTGTGTGTGTGTGTGTGTGTCTGTGCAGATGAGTCAGATGAAGAAATATTGACTTGCTCTTTTTATGTTTCCACAATAATCAGAGTCACTCTCATTTAGTGCTGAACAATTATTTGAATAATTATCGAAATCACAATATGGCCAAGTGCAAAACCCAAATATACTATATGTGAAGCAAAGACCACCTGTCACTCAAAGAGGCCAAGCCCTCAATTGTAAGTAACTTTAAGCCTAAATAAAATGTAAACAGGTGAGTTATATAAACAGGTGTCATGAAGGAGGAAATTAGCTCTAGAGACCAAAACAGTTTTTGTACCAGGCTGTAAACATGTTTATTTCTGCTGTAAAGTTGGACATTTTAACATGGGAGTCTATGGGGACTGACTCACTGTTGGAGCCAGACTCTAGTGGCCATTAGAGGAACTGCAATTTTCAGCACTTTAGTGTTGGCTTCATTTTTCGGTGTTGGAGGTTGACGCTTACAGACGCAACAAAAATTACATCATCATCATTTTTCTTTTTTTCCAGTGAAAGTGAAATATGAACGTGACCACATCTATCAAAA